TGGCAGATGCTTTAACAAATGGAAGCACATTTTGCACAAAAAAGCAGTGAGATCTAGGTCCTTAAAGACCCAAAGTCCACCCTAAGACCCAGGCACAGGAATGTGAGTCTTGGATGCCCAAGGGCAGCCTGAACGAGGCCTGGCATTTTGAGTTGGCTGGAGTGTGGAGTTCACTCCGATGCTATGCTTTTCTTCGTATCTGGAAGCCATTAGGAGATTAATAAAATACGATTTTTCCTGGGACCATAAAAATCATATGATGCCTGGAAAATAGTAAAAAGACTTGACATAATTGATATGGCAAAGAAAGATGCTCCTTTGACAAAATAACAGATACCAGTGACAGGTACAGAGGGCATTTGGGAGAAGTTGAGTTTCCACTTAGCTTTTCTTTTTTTTTTAAAGATTTTATTTATTTATTTGAGACAGAGAGAATGAGAGAGAGCACATGAGAGGGGGGAGGGTCAGAGGGAGAAGCAGGCTCCCTGCCGAGCAGGGAGCCCGATGCGGGACTCGATCCAGGGACTCCAGGATCATGACCTGAGCCGAAGGCAGTCGCTTAACCAACTGAGCCACCCAGGCGCCCTCCACTTAGCTTTTCTAAAATCAATCTTGGTCACTTCACTGAGAATAAAATCACGAGTGTGGTTCCAGCATGTTCCATTTATTCTTTGGTCTTTGTTGTTCCTCAAAGCTTATCAGCAGCTTGTGTCCTGGGAACCATTTGTTGTCTCGCTTTGGAAATATCTGTGCCCGCCTCTTGGTTTGAAAAATTTCCTAAGGTATTATTACTAGGATTTGTCTGAATGACCTACTTGGACATTTCAATGGCTATGGCCATCATGGGGTCGTAGGCCTCCAAGTACCACACCTGCTCCTTTCTCAGGTAAGGGTCTAGGCTGTTGGACTGCCACATCTTACTGACTTCTCTTATGTGTTCTCCAAATTGTCCCTTCCCCTCATCACATTCATTTTCAATTTCTGAGGGGCTGTGCATTTACGATTATCCTTGCTTTCCTGGGTCCTCAGCCTTATAATGGTTTCCTTAGTTCAGATTACTGGATTTTTGGTGGGATAACTCATTCTCAGACACTATAGCCTTTAAAAAGGTATCCCAAGAAATGAATGAAAGAGGCATTCTCATTTTCTGCTATATAGGGCATAGCAGAAATTGCCTCAAATCTCCACCTTCTGATGAAAAACACTGCTGGAAACTGGATCAGCTATGTTTTAAACCGGGTAGTCTCTTTCTTCACCTGATACTCTGAGAACAGTATTTCTCAGAGCACAGATGTTACTAGAAAAGAAAAGAAAAGAAAAAAGATTCTATGATCAAATAAGTCTGGGAAATGCTGGATTAAATAAAATTGGAGAGCTTTCTTATATGATTTTTTAGATCCTTTGATCTGTTAATTGCACCAAGACTCTCTAAGATTGAGTTATGATATGCAGCATTTTCCCCAAATTCTTTACTCACTGAATCTTTGTCTCAAAACTTTCCTCCTGGGACTAATGTTCCAAAAGTTACTTTGGGAAATGCTCGTCTAGACTTATAACCCTTGGATTCAGTTTCTCCTGAGGAGAAAGCAAAATCATAGTGAAGGAAAAAGGGACAGGGAAGAAATGGAAAAAGAATCTAATTCTGCAAGTGCCCAGCAATACTTAAATTGAATTTCCTAAGGAAAAACGAATTTCTCTGGAAAAGTAGCAAAGTGACTAGTTTTCTTATATTTCTTTATTTTCATGTGTTCTGATCTTTTAATAAAGCTCAAGAGACAATGGCAACATTTTGTAGTCCCTCTTCCAGAAGATATTGTTGGTCAATCCTCAGGCCATAGGAAAAGTCAGGGCTGGAAGGAAGTCAGGAATCCCTTGGAAGAGACCTCTCCCCTTTAAGTCAGTTCAGTTAACACGGGTACATTACGGGCATTTAGTTTAAATCCCATCCAAATCAGGCCATTGTTCAGACTCTTAAGCTGTCTCCATAAGGCTGTCACTTTCTCCTGAGAAGTAGCTCCACTCTATACATATTAGAATATATGCTTGCACTATTATATATAGAGTTTGTAAACATTTGGGAAAGACTTCCCAGCCTCCTGATGACTGTGACATTCTGGAACTTAGTTTTATAACAACCCATATATTAGCATATGAGCTGTTGGTGATTATAACAGAGGGTATGGTTATCCTAGACCTGAGATTCCTAGTCAAAAAGGTCACCAGCCCAGAGGATCTTGTCATTTCCATAACTGGAGTCAACCTACTCATGCAGGTCTTCTTAGTCAATTCTCTTTTCTCTAATTGAAAGAGTGTAGCAAGGAAGCCTTATAGCTTTGCTGACTCCAGTTTAAAACCACAAAGTTAGGGGCACCTGGGTGTCTCAGTCGTTAAGCGTCTGCCTTCAGTTCAGGTCATGATCCTGGAGTCCTGGGATCGAGTCCCACATTGGGCTCCCTGCCCAGCGGGAGCCTGCTTCTCCCTCTCCCACTTCCCCTGCTTGGGTTCCCTGTCTAGCTATCTCTCTGTCAAATAAATAAATAAAATCTTAAAAAAAAAATGCAAAGTTATCCTTCTGGTCAAGGGTATGTCACTTTCAAGGTGAACTCCACTGTAGAGTGAGTTCCCTAAGTCATGGGCCCCTAGTTAAGTCATAACTATCTTTTCAATTCATGTTCTGATTGACATGATCCAGAAAAAAACTGAATGACACCTGGATTTTTGTCTTCAGACTAGAGAGCAAACTCCCTGAAGACAGGGGTTCTGTCTTGTCCATCATGTTCTTTCCCAAGGCCAGGGTAGTAGTTGGCATGGAATATGTGCTCCAAGTATTAGCTGAGTGAGCAAATAACCAGAAGCAGGACTCAGGTCAGTCCACCACCACCCCTCCCAGGGCCTAAATTTCTCACTTGTAGAAGAGGATGAGGTTATCTGCCTCTATGTCAATGGGTTACTTAGAGTGGTCACTGAGATGAAGGATGGGAAAGTGGAAGACCATTACCATCCCCCTAAGAGTAGCAATGACAAAGGTGTACCAGAAGTCCTGATGACACATCTTAGCCAGATACTTCTCAAGGGATGCTAACTCTTCTGGGAAGGGCATTGCCTTTGAGCAATGATTTCTGCCCTACGACAACCTCTAGTGTTGGCAGACAAACATAAGAGGGTCAACCAAGCCAGCAAGACCTCTATTTTGTATTTAATAATGATCTCTGGAAAAGTAGCAGGAGACTAGCTTTTGTGAGAAATATCATTCACCAGGCAGATAAATTTGATCTGGCGTCCAGTTTCTAGCAGGACATATTAGCATATGTGTCTCTGTCATGAAACAAACCTGTTTGTTATCTCAGAAGGTCCTTGTGTGAATCCCTTGCCCAGTTGGGCTCCAAATCGTTCTTTCTGCCTCTATAGGGCTCTCTGCTCCTATCTCTCTGGGAGAAAGCCCAGGGTGGCCTTCTAGCACCAATAAAACCTCACATTTACCCTTCCTGGGAGAAGGTCAAGGAGCAAAAGGCAGTGTGCCAAAAGGCAGGGACCAAGACCAAGAATGAAGATGTTTCATTAGTAGGATGCCAGGTACACTAGGATGGGTGAGTGCAGGGGAGGTGGTGGTAATGGCAAGGGATGAGATTTGAAAAAATAAAGTGAAATCAAAGCAAAACCACAGGCATAAAGATAATGACATGAAATTTATCTCTCTCTACTTTGCTCATTGCCAAATTAAGAACCATTTTGAAAGCTAATAACATGAACTGGTGCCTTTCTGTACCTGGCTTCAGAAAACTAGATGTCCTATATGAACACCTGCAGTGTTGGGGTCTCTGAGGGCAAATGCTTCCCAATACAAGGTAGGGTGAAGCTGGGTGTCAGGGGCAGGGGGCTTCTGGGTTGGAGCTACTTCACTGTACAGCTCCAGGGAGCATTTCTTATGTTGCATTCTATATAAATGGCTCCCCCTGGAGTTGTACTCCTGGTAAAACATCTTGGAGACTTGCAATCTTAACTTCTCCTTTGGGATACTAGTGACATGAGGTGCATAGGAAACAGAGCCATCTGAAAAACATCTTGGAGAATAATAAGCACCTCCTCTTCCAACAAACAGTTAAACCTCTCTTTACACAGGTAATTCCAGTAAGCCTGCCCCCTCACATACCCAGAAGTATATAACAAAGGCATTCACACTTATCCAGATGATTCCATTCCATTACCTATGGCCCCATCCCTCTGAAATTTATTGTATAAGTTATACTAGGATCACACACACAAGAAGCTCATAGTACAATAAAGGAGGAAATACTGCTAACATTGACTATATTAACCTGCTAGTTTGCATTTAGTTTCATAATTTCTATGATGTTCACCCTCAGGAGTTTTAATCCTATGCACTGTCAACAGTTTTTATATTTGGTGGGTGAATGCAAATATCATTGAGGACCACAGGAGATTTTTGTTTTTGTCAATCCATCTTTTCACTTGCTTTACTTAGTCAAGGGAAAAGATAGGGTCCAAATCAAATAAACCAGACCCCTTGACTTCACCAGATAAAATGCAAGCAAAACTGATTTCCCTTCATGTTGTTTTAGCCCACCATTAATTTGCATCACTAAGGAATTTTCTAGGTAAGTGCTCAGCAAACTCAAGGCTTCTCTGGTTGCCAAGCTCATGGAAACAAAGTGCTTTCTCTTAAAACTCTGAAAGAGACATTCCAAAGTAACCCACTATTAGATACTGAGCCAGCAATAGACTTCATATCTATGAAAATAGAAAGGAGGGGAGGAAAGAAAATGCATAACATAAACAAGAACAGACAAAACCTTAAAGAGGAAGGAGAAAGGAAAACATTTAGACTCCTTGAGTGATGGAAATAAATACCAAAGCTATTAGTTTCAGTTCAAAGGACGTATCACTTTATGCTGTTTATTATTTCTTGAGGATTATTTATTTTATCTTAAAATATCCAAAGGGTAAAAGGGGTCCTGGAGGTAAGCGGCAATGAAACTGACCTGGTCGGGAGAGGGCCTGTGATTGGAATGTTGCGACCTCCCAGGAGATCGGTGGTGGTGATGGTGGTGATGGTGGTCCTCATCGTAGTTATCCGCCATCAGCTTCATTCTGTTCTGGGTCTGCGCAGAACAAAAAGCAGAGAAGACTCCATTAAGAGCTGGAAGACCAGCCAAAGAGATTCAGGGTATAATTATAGCACCTAGAGGGCTCCTTTTGTTACTAACCCAGAAGTTTTCATTTTTAGTTAAATGGAAACTCAATAAAGAATGCACCCTGCAGGAGCGCCTGGGTGGCTCAGTTGGTTAAGCGACTGCCTTCGGCTCAGGTCATGATCCTGGAGTCCCGGGATCGAGCCCCGCATC